CAATACTTTCTGTTTAAACCCACTTTGTTCCTTGGGCATGGTTACAAGTTCTTCTAGATCTTAGGAAAATTTGGAAAAAGTAAAGAATTTATTAAAAGAGAAGATTAAAGGCAGGTTGACCAATGCACAAAAAGTTTCAATTAGTTCCAGTGCCACATCAATATTCATATGCCATGGGAAAAGCATAGTTTGGAAGGAAGTTCCTCTGACCCCTTCTATACTACCATATAACCGAGATTATCAGATCAGTTAATCCACATTATCTGCTTTGAACTGGATTATATGAGTCTAAACTGCCATATAATCTAGTTCAAAGCAGATAATCTGGATATTAAATGGCATTGTAGAAGAGCCCTTAGAAATTACGGTTTAGAAACAGGCTGTCTCATGAACCAAGTTCAATCTGGGTGAAGGAGACCTTTGCAGAATAGATTTATTTTTTCATGTCAGTAGTGATTTGAGAAACTGCAGAATAGATTAAGCACATGGAATACTAGCCAAACTGCTGTGCTTTTAGTTTAGGAAGTGAAAGTGGCATGCAGGCCCGTAGACAGGATTTTGATTCGGAGGAGGGGGGGCTGAGTTTGATGGGGGGGGCTGAGTCTGAGTGAAAGAGGCAAACCTTTTGTATCATTACCCCAATACCCCCATGCATATGGGATATATTGAGCATGGTGATCAGATCATGATATGAATAAACATAACAGTTTAAATAATGCACCAGTAAGGCCTTTCGCGAACCACCATGAGAATTTCGGGGGGGGGGGGGGCTGAAGCCCCTCAACCCCCCCCCCCCCCCGGCTACATGCCTGGTGGCATGTATAACACACAGTAACCAGATACAATAAGCCCTCAACGTTTATGGAGGTTAGGAATCACTAAGTCCTCCACTGTGGCTCTAATATTTATTTTGATGGAAACTGACCATAGAATTGCATTGGAGGACCTAGAAATTCCCAGAGAGGTGAAATCCATGAATAATCAAATCTGTAAAAGTAAAAAAGTGCAAATGTGGAAAATTGAACAGATTCTTCTCAATGGCAATTGTTCGTTTGAGTGCAAAGTTAATTCATCTCATTTCTATTAGTAAGCCATATTCCTCATATGTCTTGGTTCAATGTTGGTTAATATATCAAGAGAGGAAAAGCTTAGGGCTATTATCCTAGGAATATTATCCTAGGTATATAAATATAGTAAATAAATAAATAGGAAACCCTATTACTTGAGGAATCTCACTGAATTAAACAGAGTCCACATCTGAGTAAATACTAACAGGATTGCACTATAACTGCAACATTTTAAGCATGTTGTCTCAGTCCAGTTGACCTCAATACAGTTTAATCCTTAGTCTGTATGCAAAGGATCAGCCCATAGACTTTTCAGAATAAAGTATAATATATAAATCCTGCCAGTCATGGGAATATAACATGAGTAATGAGATCTTTGTGACCATTCAAAAATGGGAGACAGCATACTTCTATTTTCCAGATACTTCTGAGGATATTACATTTTCTGACTGAAGAGCTCAATAGAATGTTAAGTCAAGTTTATAGAAGGCCATTCGAGTAAGGAACATGAATTCTAGCCAGGGGATAAGTCTTTGTGGATGTTACTTCTCATAATAGAAAGATGTGGCCAAGCAAATGGAAGGGAGAATATGTGTCCATTAAAATAATTTTTAAAATTACATCTGGGGCCGGCAAAATGTAACTAATGTATTTCTCTTCTAGCTGTTGCAGGGGGAAAGTAATACATAAGATATTGGAATAAATGAATGAATCTAGAGGAGTGATATATGTATTATGCTGTTAGAATAGGCCTTAAGAAATAACGGGTCAAATCCCTACATAGCCATGAAACTCATAGGATATCCTCCAGCTAGACCAGTGTTTCTCAAACTGTTCTCTTTCATATATTTTGGACTTCAGTTCCCAGAAATCTCAGCCAGTTTAGCAGCTTTTAGGAATCGTGGAAGCTGAAATCCAAAACATCTAGAGGAGCACAGTTTAAGAAACTCTGAGCTAGACACACACTCTCAGGTTGACCAGCCTCAAATGTTAGTTGTAATGATAAGCAGGAAAAGCATTTTTTTGTTGCAGTAAAGTAAGGACCCTTCCACACAGCTATATAACCCAGAATATCAAGGAAGATAACCCACAATATCTACTTTGAACTGGGTTATATGGCAGTGTGGACTCAGGCCCCTTTCACACAGATGAATAAAATCCCATTTTTTTTTTTTTTTTTTTTTTGCTTTGAACTGGGATATATGGAGATGTGGACTCAAATAACCCAGTTGAAAGCAGATATTATGGGATTTTCTGCCTTGATATTATGGGTTGATATTCTGGAGCAAAGACATGGTAGAACTGTAACTTGTAACAAATATATGTAAATATCTTTTGAGAAAGGATAATTCCCAATTTTTACCTATTCCCAATACCTATTCTGTTTAAGCAGTGTGCAAAAAAGCTTCTGCTGAAAGTTGGAACAAAAATGTAAAGCTTTGTAGAATTAGAATTAAGAATGAATGAAATGTTAATCAGATATATGGCGTCATCAGCATACATTGTTAATTGTGTATAATAATGCACAATTGAGTTTTAGTTAATTAGTTTCAATCACATAATCAGTGGGAGTCTATGACCCCTTGCACACAGCTGAATAAAATCCCATATTTTCTGCTTTGAAGTGGAGTATATGGAAGTGTGGACTCAGATAACCCAGTTCAAAGCAGATATTGTGGGATTTTCTGCCTTGATATCCTGGGTTATATGGCTGTGTGGAAGAACCCTTGGTTACTGTGGATCTTACACATTGTTCTTTGCATCATGATCTTGATATTGAATAATCCCAAATTGATTTGTGCCAGCACAAAATCTACATTGCAGCAATAGTTCTAGTATCATTTACCATCAGCCTATGTACTACTATGTTACTGTTACAGGCCCTTTGTGTTAAAATGTCTGTTATATGAGAAAACACCCACTGAGGATGATACATAATATCAAGATAAAAAAGATGATAATTTATCAGCTATATAGAATATGGAAGTTATTCTACTTGGCTGTTTGTAAAACAGAACCATGATTGTACAAAGAATGCCAGATTCTATCTCTTTTTGTAAGATTGATGTTTCAGGAACCCACACAAAGCTATTGAGTAATCCATTTATTTTCTATAGGGTCCTTTCAATTATCATCTAAAGGTTATTCTGGAAACAAATCCCATTTTTCTCTAAGTGAAATGCTATCTATAGGTATAAGCAGCAAAAGCTAAGCTTTCAAAATATTCTCTTCACTGATAGCATATTTTTTGAGGTTGTTTATGCTGTACATTTAAATTTCCTGAACTAAAAAACTAAGGTGCTTACTAATAATTAAATGCACTGGAGGGAGGGTTAAAAGGCAAGCATAAATTGTATATATAATATATTGCATATACATAGAATATTTATAATATTATAATGTAATACAATGTAATACTACTACTAATAATACAATATTATAATTATATATTTTATATTGCATGTAATATTGCTAATATTACAATATAACAGTATTGTACAATATAGTAATATATAATACTGATATTGTATTATGCTAATAATATAATATATTGTATCTTGTAAGCCACTCTGAGTCCCCTTCGAGATGAGAAGGGTGGCATATAAATGTCATAAATAAATATATAAATTCTTTTTTAAAAGGAAGAATCTTCAAACAATAATCCACTAACATGAACATCAGGATGAGTTGAAATAGAAACAACATTTCTACCTACATTTTCCTGTTAATTACAATCACTCCTACTCGTAAGTAACTCCTACTGAATTTATTGAGTCTTACGGCCTTTCCACACAGCCCTATATCCCAGAATATCAAGGTGGAAAATACTACATTATCTGAGTGTGGACTCAGATAACCCAGTTCACAGCAGATACTGTGGGATTTTCTGCCTTGATATTCTGGGATATAGGGCTGTGTGGAAGGGCCTATAATGTTGCTAGAGCTTGATTTTCTGGCTCACCCCTTCAGTTTTTACAAATAGATGGGTCATCCTGCAAATGTGGTCATTGGTTTCCTAACAGATGCTTGAGAGGTCTGTTATGAAATGAACGACAGCTAAGATGCAAAGTGATAATTTCTTCCTTCCATGCTTCCCTTCCTTAGACTTGCTTCAGACACACTCACTGCCCACAAGCATTCATTGAAAGTCCAACACAAGTGTCAGTAACAACATGCAACTTAGAGCAGGTAGGCCAAAATGATAAATCAGAAATGCAAATCGAAAGACACAATCCAATCCTTCCAAGTGAATCCCTGACAGTTGAAATATCCAGTTCCTTGTTGTACCAGGATTGCCAGCAAGTGAACAGCAGCAATACAATTCAGATTCACAATCTTCATGCTTCAAGCTCAATCGGCATTTTAAACTCATAGTTTGGAATCCATTAGTGTGATATTTGTAACCAACAGGGGAATACATGGCACGAATATGAAAAATTTCCTTTTAACATGTGATAAAAAAAATGTAACAAAATTGAAGCGATGTCAGTATTGTCCAGGGAAACAAGAGTTCACCGCAACTTGGAAGAGCCTGGGGTCATGTAGAACATAATGTCTGTGCTGAATAATATGCAAAAGTGCAGAAGAGCCTTGTATCGGCAGCAGTTTAGTTCAACCCAATGCTGTCTGAAGTATCCAAATAAAGATGGGTGCTTGCTACCTTATGCAATAGACTATAATGCCACAAAATTGGCAAGGCCTTCTATTTTCCAATCATCATCACCAGCATCATAATCAAGGAATAACATCTGTATCTATTTACTAATCCAGCAATCAGACCTAGACAAAATGATGCCAGGTGCCACAAGCAAAACTGATTTTGGCAATGGATTGCTTTAAAACGCCCAAGCAAGCTGTTATATAACTGTGTGCAAAGGCACTGATCCCATTTCATTGCAGAAAATAAGGCAAGAGTTATGCAGGGAAACTAACCTTACAGGCATGCTCCATCGTGATGGAAATGCTGCTGGTCGGCTTTACCCAAAGATAGTCCAATTCCTGGTCTTGCGGTAGGCTTCATTCTGAAACCTGTAGGTTGTTCCTAGCAGACAGATTTAAAAGGGCAGATCTGGGGTCTGTTGGGCCATTTGCATTCTCAAGCAGCTCACAATTCATCAGAAAAATCAGAAAGTCCACTCCATCCCTGCTGCAGTATCCTTTGGCGAGTGGAGAGAGCAGAGAGAGATGCATGAAACTATTCCAGGGGAGGAGGAGGGAAATAAGGGAGGAGGGAGGAGAAGGGGCTGGAATCAACCATGTAGGGATTGAAGAAAATCTGTTCACCATGCACACACCCAGAAAGTGGAGAGTGTCTATAATTGAGGGAAAGAGCAAGAGAGGAATTTCACAGGGGTGTTGCAGCAGTTGCCGAGGGGATGTGCTTCAGGTTGACTTGCCTCTCCCTCCTGGGAAAATGAGCTCACTGCCAGCATCCAAGAGCCGCCCCTCAGCCATTGCAGGGACACTGCAGAGAGAGCAGGAGGCACGTCATGGGAGGCGATGGCACCGAAGGGAACCCAAGCCCTGCCTCTCCAAGGAGCAGGCACCACAGCCCTCTGCAATCTCACCCCCCTTGGAGTCTGGAGGGTTTTTTTTACAGTGACTTGTTTGCTTGGGAGGATTTAAATGTCTTTCTGTGTGTGTGAAAGGGAGGGGATGCCTTCCTCTCCAGCATCCTAGAAAAGGGCGGTGTGTTGCCAAGGTTACAGAGATTTTCTCTCATCCTTTCCTTGTCAAGAAGCAATTGGGCTGAAAGGATGCTGGCACCGGAAAGCTCAGCATTTCCTAGGATGTATCCACACTGCTTCTTTACAGAACCTTCGGGTGCATCTACACTAAGATTAGTGCAGTTTGATGCCACTTTAACTGCCATGGCTCAATGCTGGGAGTTGTAGCTTTGCAAGCTCTTTAGCCTTCACTGCAAAAGAGAAGGGGTACCTTACCAGACTACAACTCCTGGGATTCCATAGCATTAGGGGAGTGCCAAACTGCATTATTTTTACAGTGTATATTCACTCATAGAGTTGGGAGAGATCCCAAGGACCATTCAGTCAATTTTGTTCTGCCATGTAAGAAAACACAATCAAAACACTCCTGAGAGATGGCCATTCAGCCCCTGTTTAAGAATTTACAGATATGGAGACTCCACCACGTTCCAAGACAGCATATAATAATAATAATAATAATAATCATCATCATCATCATCATCATCATCATCATCATCATCATCGGCTATCTGTGGTCAGCAAAGAATACATTCAAAGGGTCAGAAAAATTCTCAAAACCAAGCTCAAGGCCATAAACACCTGGGCCATACCTGTCATAAGATATACTGCTGGCATCATTAACTGGACACAGGCAGAACTGGACAATTTGGACAGAAAAACTAGAAAACTCATGACCATTCATTATTCATTACATCCTCGCAGTGATGTTGACCGGCTCTATCTGCCTAGAAAGTCTGGTGGCAGAGGACTTTTACAAGTAAAACAAGCAGTCAAAGAAGCAAAAACATGCCCTGGCAGAATATGTCAAGGAAAGCCAAGACCCTGCTTTAATTGAAGTCAATAATCAGAAACTTCTCAAAGCACAGCAGGCAAAGAGTCAGTACAAGAAAACCGCACTCCAAACCAGAGCTGACAGCTGGCACAACAAAGCATTGCATGGGCAGTTCCTTGACAAAATTGAAGGATAACTTGATAAGGAGAAGACCTGGCTATGGCTCATGAATGGAACCCTGAAGAAGGAGACAGAAGGCCTGATTCTTGCAGCCCAGGAGCAAGCCATCAGAGCCAATGCAATTAAGGCCAGGATCGAAAATCAGCTGATGACCCAAAATGCAGACTGTGCAAGGAAGCTGATGAAACCATGGACCATATCCTCAGCTGTTGCAAGAAAATCGCACAGACGGACTACAAACAAGACTGCGGCATGGAGGGGGGGAGGTGTTCCATTAGCCGAGGGGCCCCCATAGAGGTCGTGGTGGGAAGGAGGAGATGCGGGAAAAGGAGACCTCGAATTCGGCCTAATTCGGACCGCTTATCTATATTAACAATCCCCAACCGGTCTCCTAAGGTAGATTGGTGTAACCAGATGAGCGGGCCCTCTGGTTTGAAGGTGGTGTTGTTGAACGCCAGATCTGTCAACGGAAAAACGACCTGGATCCAGGATTTAATCCTGGAGGAGCGGGCAGATCTGGCGTGCATCACGGAGACCTGGTTGGATGAAGCTGGGGGCGTAAACCTCTCCCAGCTTTGTCCTCCAGGTTTCTCCGTGCAACACCAACCAAGAGCCGGAGGACGGGGAGGCGGGGTCGCAGGTCTATAGAGATTTCATCCATCTGACCAGGAGCCCCATCCCGCAGACCACAAATTTTGAATGCGTCCACCTGAGGGTGGGTGACCGGGACAGAATAGGGATTCTTGTAGTGTACCGTCCACCTCGCTGCACTACAGTCTCCCTGCCTGAGCTAGCGGGGGTGGTCTCGAGCCTGGTGGTGGAGTCCCAACGGCTACTTGTGCTGGGGGACTTCAACATCCATGCCGAGGCAACCCTCACAGGAGCGGCTCAGGACTTCATGTCTGCCATGGCAACCATGGGGCTGTCCCAACAAATAACTGGCCCCACCCACTGTGCTGGACACATTGGACTTGGTTTTCTGCCAGGGATGGGAGCAGGGTGGCGGTGTGGAGGAGTTGTCCATCTCTCCGTTGCCATGGACCGACCACTTCCTGATCAGATTTAGGCTCACTGTGCCCCCCCTAACCTCCGCAAAGGTGGAGGACCCATTAAGATGGTCCGCCCCAGGAGGCTTATGGATCCGAATGGATTCCTGACGGCTCTTGGGGATTTTCCCGCCACCTCGGTAGGCGACCATGTCGAGGCCTTGGTCGCTCTCTGGAATGGGGAGATGACCAGGGCAATTGACAGGATCGCTCCGGAACGTCCCCTCTCAAGTAACCGAGCTAAACCAGCTCCTTGGTTCACTGAGGAGCTGGCAGCGATGAAGCGAAGGAAGAGGGAACTAGAGAGCGTGTGGCGCTCGGACCCAAGCGAGCCAAATCGAGCACGGTTTGTGTCCTTTTTAAGGGCATATGCCGCGGCAATAAAAGCCGCAAAGAAAACCTTCTTTGCGGCTACTATTGCGTCTGCAAAAAACCGTCCGGCGGAGCTGTTTCGGGTTGTCAGAGGTCTTTTAACTCCCCCTATCTTAGGTGGGAGCACTGACAACTCGGACACGCGCTGTGAAGCATTTGCTCGGTTCTTTGCAGACAAAGTCGCTTTGATCCGTTCTGGACTGGACGCCACTTTAAATGCAGTCTCTGTGGATGTGACACAAGCACCTGCTTGTCCTATTTTGATGGATTCTTTTCAGTTTGTGAAACCCGAGGATGTGGACAAGATACTTGGAGGAATGAGGCCTACCACGTCCATCCTAGACCCCTGCCCATCCTGGCTTCTGAAAGAGGCCAGAGGGGGATTGGCTGAGTGGGTAACGGTGGTGGTTAATGCCTCCCTTCGGGAAGGCACGATTCCAGCGAGCCTAAAACAGGCTATTATAAAGCCGCTGTTGAAGAAACCATCACTTGACCCCACTAAATTTGACAACTTTCGGCCTGTTTCCAATCTTCCCTTTTTGGGCAAAGTCATGGAAAGCGTGGTGGCCTCACAACTCCAGGTATTCTTGAGAGACACGGATTATCTGGATCCGGCACAGTCTGGCTTCAGACCGGGACATGGTACCGAGACGGTCTTGGTCGCCTTAGTGGATGATCTCCGCCGGGAGCTAGACAGGGGGAGTGTGTCCCTGTTGGTGCTTCTGGACCTCTCAGCGGCCTTCGATACCGTCGACCACGGTATTCTTCTGGGACGCCTTGCAGAGATGGGTCTTGGGGGCACCGCTTTGCGGTGGCTCCAGTCATTTCTGGAGGGTCGTACCCAGAAGGTGTTGTTGGGGGACTCCTGTTCAACACCACAACCGTTGACTTGTGGTGTTCCTCAGGGTTCTATACTGTCCCCCATGCTGTTTAATATCTACATGAAGCCGCTGGGTGAGATCATCCGGAGTTTCGGGGTGCGGTGTCACCTGTACGCAGATGACGTCCAACTCTGTCACTCCTTCCCACCTGCTACTAAGGAGGCTGTCGAAGTCCTGAACCGGTGCCTGGCCGCTGTGACGGTCTGGATGAGGGCGAACAAACTGAAATTAAATCCAGACAAGACAGAGGTACTCCTGGTCAGTCGCAAGGCCGAACAGGGTATAGGGTTACAAGCCTGTGCTGGACGGGGTCGCACTCCCCTTGAAGGCGCAGGTTCGCAGCTTGGGTGTGACCCTGGATTCATCGCTGAGCCTGGATCCCCAGGTTTCAGCGGTGACCAGGGGAGCTTTTGCACAGCTTCGGCTCGTGCGCCAGCTGCGCCCGTATCTTGGGAAGTCTGACTTGGCCACGGTGGTACACGCTTTGGTCACATCCCGCCTCGACTACTGCAACGCTCTCTACGTGGGGCTGCCCTTGAAGACGGCCCGGAAGCTCCAGCTAGTCCAGCGCGCGGCAGCCATGTTGTTAACCGGAGCGGGACGCAGGGAGCGCACAACGCCCTTGCTGTCCCAGCTCCACTGGCTGCCGATCAGCTACCGGGCTCAATTCAAGGTGCTGGTGCTAACCTACAAAGCCCTAAACGGTTCCGGCCCAAAATACCTTGAGTACCGCATCTCGGCCTATGAGCCCACGAGGACCTTGAGATCATCCGGGGAGGCCCTTCTCTCGGTCCCGCCTGCCTCACAGGCACGCTTGGCGGGGACCAGGGAGCGGGCCTTCTCGGTGGTGGCCCCCCGGCTGTGGAACTCCCTCCCCGCTGAAATTAGACAGGCGCCTTCCCTTATGGCCTTCCGCAAGGGCCTAAAAACCTGGCTCTTTGAAAAAGCCTTCGATTAAGTGCTATGCTTGGTATGACCACCGGAATGGACTAGGACTACGAGACTGATTATGACCCAAACAAGACGAAGCGGATTTTTAGCTTAATTAGTTGTGTGTTAGTAAGATGTGTGTTATGTCTCTGAATTTACTGTAAGCGTTGTCTTTATGGTCTATGTTTTGTACACCGCCACGAGTCGCCTTCGGGCTGAGAGTGGCGGTTAACAAATGCAAATAATAAATAATAATAATAATAAAAAAAGACACAACTCTGTGGCTCAGATGATTCACTGGTACCACCTGCCAGCAATAAAGAATTGGTGGGATCACAAACCCGCAAAGGCTGTGGAAAATGAACATGCAAAAATACTGTGGGACTTTCGAATCCAGACTGCCAAAGTTTTGGAACACAACACGCCAGGCATCACGACTGTGGAAAAGACAGCTGCATTGTGGAAAAACAACAAGAAAAACTCAGCCGCTATCAAGACCTCAAAATTGAACTGCAAAGGCTCTGGCATAAACCAGTATAGGTGGTCCCAGTGGTCATCGGCACACTGGGCGCCGTGCCAAAAGATCTCAGTCGGCATTTTGAAACAATAAACATCGACGAAATCACGATCTGTTAACTGCAAAAGGCCACCTTACTTG